TATTATTATTATTCATATTTATTGTAAAATATCACTCACAAGTCACTTTTTTGGCATTTTTTAATATCTGTTGTAATATATCTACATTTAATTGGAAGAATCTTACTTTTCTATTTTTTTCATATTTATTGTAAAACATCAGTCCCAGATCACTTTTTTCATTTGTTCATATTTAATAATTTATTGAAAAGTTGAAAATATCTACAACTTATAACTAATTGGAAGAATCTCCATTGTCATCCAAAACCATCACCTTCCTTTTTGATTTTTTGTTAGACTTCTTATTATCCTTGAGTCCCTGTTTCCATGCAGCCAAGGTACCTTCTTGGATCTTGGAGTTCTTGGAGTAGAAGGCCACCATCATTTTGATTTTTGGTAGGGAAGTGAGGGGGTACCTGTTCAATTTTTCACAAAAATAGGTACCAAGTACCGCACCTGGCACCTCCTGGCGGGTGCGGGGCGGGTGCGAGGGGTACCCCCCAGGAGGTACCAGGTACCTGCAAATAGTACGGACAAACGATCTCTACTTCTAGTTCAAACTAAAATAACTCTTATGACATCATGTAGGTTGCTCAACCAGCCAAAATACCTCATGTACATGTTCTGACTAGCTAAAACCCCTCATTTTAAAGCTCTGGCCAGCTAAAATCTCTCATTCTCTTGTTCCCCTGAAGCTAAAATCCCTCACCTTTGTGTATTTAAGAGGCTCTCCTCTCAGTTGTTTTCCCCTCAGTTTAGTATCCACCTATTTCATACCCCCTACCCTTACAAACCCTTACATACCATTACATACCATCCGCTTACCATTGAAATATCAGCTAGACTCACTCTCTCACTCTCAAATCAACCTTTAGACCCTTATAAAACTGGGTTAAACCCTTTGTCCACCCGTTAAGCCACAGTTATCTTTTGATACACTCCACTATCACTTTATTAAACCTTCCAATCTGAGATTGGTGGGCTTGTCTAGTGTCTAGTGATCCAGGAAAGGCAGAGGTATCATCATTCATCCCTTTCCACACTCAGCAAAAGGTTTTCACAAACACTTTGGAGCTTTACATCGGTCTATGCCATACGCAACTGTAATTCTGCTAAAAATGTTGTGATTTTCACTGAAGTTGTAGCATTATACCAATTGTGTTGAGATACCTGTATGTAGTCATCATATGCTTGTAGTGAGGTATGCTTCTACTAAGCATGTCATCTCATGGTGAAATGTCTGATCTGGGGCCAAATACCAAGATTTTATTGGTTTAGACTAGGTTCACATACCTAAAATGACCTGTTTCATGAGTACCATTTTGACAATAATCACAAACTCATACCCATTCCAAGAGTATGATTTTGGTTTTTTTGCCATTTTTGCGTAACTTTTTCAACCCCCCCCCCTTAGGGGGCTTTCCGGGGTCCTCCTAGGTGACATTCAGCCCAAGGGCAACTCGAGTATCCAAGCAGTGGCTCAAGCGGGCTTAATTTATCTAGTATGTAGATAAATGTGGCCGACCTTCATCTATTATAATTAAGCCCGCTTGACCCACTGTTTACCTTTATCTACTATACATAAATTAAAGCCCGCTTGAGCCACTGTTTGGACAGGCAGCCCACCTCAGGTGGGCTGCCTGTAATACTCTTTACATCAGTTATGAGACTGAATACTAGAAAGCAGAAGACTTTTCGCACCTTTCATCAGGTACTCACTTCATCCGAACCGTCTAGGACTGCCGCAGACAAACCTCTCCCTCCAACACACCATAAACCTCATACAATCTTTCACAAATTCCCAGCTTGACAAATTCTATCTCAATCATGAACCTAATTTCAGCATTAGTTGTTTTGATGGCCATGAGTGCCAACTTTGCCGTTGGTTTGAAATGCATGAACTGCCAAGGTAACATCTGCGCCCCGACGAGCACACCAAGGCCAATTTGCTTCAACCGCGATGAGACACGTAAGTCTGGTTCTCCTCGCCGGATCACCACAGTATTCGACCAGACTGACGAGGTTTTATTCTCCCCCCGAGGATCATGTAGATGAAGACGCCTCCTCAATTTTTGGCCAATATTACTGCTTGAGGGGTAACCAAACTCTCAAGTGTTGTCCTAAAGAGAAGGGTAATAACGTGAGTTAACGTATCCGTCAGAATTTTCCCGCTTGATGATTGAAGTGATTAATGAAATGAATATTCTCACATCTTAGGGCCAGGTAGCTCAGCCGATCAAAAGGCTCGTTCCCTCAGATTGCACCAACGCTTTACCATGATTGTATAACCCCCACAAGTCAAGAAGAGTAGGTCATGCCCAAAATGATTCATATTTACTTTATTCCGCGGTAATTAGCTAACCCGTTATATATTGTTCCTCATCGATCTCCAGGTTCCGAATCAAAAAAAAGAACTGGAATATTTGGGTTAAGGAAGAACGTAACCCCTTAACAACTTGTTGTTTGTGCTTTCTTCCTGGTCAGATCTATATCACTCATTAGTTGCATATTTATTAGACGAGCTTCCATTAGATTTTTCAGCAACTATACGTATACCCTTTGGAAAGAAACAAAGTAGAATAAAACAAGCATGTTTTTTTTCTCTTACTCCGACCAATGATAAAGCCTCAGTAGCCTAAGGCAATATCATTCTTACGAAAACTAAGAGATTAGATGCGGATGAGACTGAAAATTGAATATATTTAAACATTTCATTGTTTGCTTGAGCCTTGCCAATGTTATATTCCATCCTGCTTTAATAAGCAGTCTAACACCCACTTTGGAATGTTTGATTGGATGTAATGCGTCTTTGATTCTTGAAGGCTGGAGTTGATTGGAGAGAATAGGGAATAAGCTTGCCGATTGCTTTGCTCTTCAGCTGGGGTTGTTTTGGGGAAGTGTTGTGTTGAGTTGGTTGTATGCGCTTCAAGTTCGATCATCTCCATCTCTCTCTCTCTCTCTCTCCGTTTCTCATTCTTTTCTTTTGTTTTGTTTTGTTTTGTTTTCCTTTCCTATCCTATCCTTTCTTTTCTTTTCTTCGTTGTGCACTTTGGATAACATTTGATTTGATTTATTTTTTGATTTACTTGACTATAATCAGATGTCATCCTCTGCTCGATAGACTCAATCCAGAACTACTACTGCGCTTAGCTCAACCGAACCAGAAGACCGGCCAGCTATCGGTAGCTTCCACCCCACCACCAATTAGCCACACCCCAGCAGCAGCAGTAAACCTGATCCAACCCGATACTACAGAGGGCCAAAACTTAACATCGCCCTCGGCCTCCAACCGTTGGACCGCCGTCAAGGCTAAATTAGTCCGTGGCCCCTCCCTCATTCCCGCCGAGAACGCGGGTCAGACTACGGGAACTAGCTCAGCTATCAATCAACTCATTCGTATCAAATCTAAAGCCACTACCGACAAGAAAAACTTCACTGGTCCTGAACTTAATGCTCAACTCTCAAGTGGATCATTAGCCATGTATGTCACTACGAGAATGCTTCGCTCCAGTTTGGATGGACGCAAGGCATTCTGAGCTTCGGTGAATGGGTAAACATGGTCACATATTAACGATCTAGCACGATTCGAAGCAGTGCTGCCGTGGTCATCAACCGTTGCTTCAACAGAGCTCTAGTTCTAGACATGAAGCAATTTTGACCGTGACGATAGATGAGAGTTCACGATTGATTGTGCTCTGAAACCGATGACGCTTGAATCGTGAAAGACTTCGCCCCTTTAGAGGCCGAATTTACTCGTCAATCCCGATACCCATACCATTCGACCCCGGATAATTGTGCCTTCCTCGATTTCCAAGGCAATGCTTGAGGTGCTACCTTGCACTCGTTCCTTGTCATGACGTCAAATTGACTATGTCGAACTTCTTTGTCGAATAAATAATCTTGTTATCGTGATCTTGAAACAAAATATACATTGTCATGAGCCTGGCTTCCGAGGACTGGGTACCTCTTCTTATGAGCCAAGTTTACGGCCTCCCGTTGAAAGGGGACAGATGTTGTCTCTATGTTACAGATTTGCTCGAAACTTCAACCAAGGGTGAAGAAGGCTTCACACGAGTTTTTTTTTGACTCACTTTGTTGACACGAACTAACATCCTAGGAGTGTCACCTGACGACATACCAGAAGCAAGCGGCAACGTCGGCTGTCGTCTCACATCTACTTGAATACATCAATCGCGTATAAAAGAGGAGCTTTTGAGGACTCTCTTAATCCCACCACCATCCGATTGCCTGCTTACATATCCTTAAAATAGATTCAGTTTGATTCATTGCTATAGGTAGTTGTCGATTTCTCATCACTGTAGCATCAGCACAACCAATTCTCTTGATTGCTAAATCTGACCTGACCTGGAGGATTGGGTATACATCAATTTGAACAGATTTATCGATTCTTTCTGTTCAACGTCCAAGGACTCACCTGGCTGTGAGCTTAGCCGGCTGCGCACTTGACAATTAAGGTATGTTGAATAAATCCTGAGGGTCGCTTAGATCTTTTGGCGTACTGAGCTTTGAGTGACCACTGCTCATCAAATCACTTGACGAATATTTTTGATTCTGTCTGCCCTCAATCACCGAGGCAAGGTTGATTCAAAGATTTCTGACTGACTTTTATCGTAACCCAGACACACATTTTCCTGGCGTCAGTTCACCCGGCGTGCACTTGATCCGCGTTAATCACCAAGCAACGCGATTGCATTCAGTATTTACAACAGTGCCAAATCTTTCTCGACTGTGTCCAGACAGACTCTCGCATTTGTACGTATACATTCATTCAAAGAACCCATCCCAAGATTTTTTTTTCCTTGCCTCAAAAACAAGCCTGACGGTGTTGCTCTACCTTCTAGCCTTGAGCAACAGACGCTGTCACATACGGTTTGTTTTTGAAACTATTACTAAATTCTTCTTGGATAATTGTACTAAGAGAAGGGCTTTTTCCATTATTCTTTCATACAAAGCTTCGAGCCCTCACCCGAACAGCAAACATGGTTCAAATCCAAACAAGAATGACCTTCATCAGCAAACTGGGGCAATTTTGTGCCTGGTTATTGTTGATATCACTCATTATTGGCTCAACTCTCTGTGAAGAGAATCAACTTGATCTTAAAAAGCCGGAAACCCCAGAAAATTCTTCCACAATTTCAGACTTGAAGCCTGTGTCACTCAGACGCAGATCCCCACTTCCCCAAGCAACTCAATGTCCACCTGGTCAAGGACTCAATAAAAAGAAGAAATGTGCCAAATGTGGTAGGAAGCAAGAAGTTGTCAAAAACAGATGTGTCAAGAAGTGTAAAAATAATCAAACACGCAATGCCCAAGGGAAATGTGTCAATAAAGCAAACTAGATCAAATTACATTTGCATGGGTAGACCAGTGAACTAGTAAATCAACTTTTTACTATTAGACTACTTGATCATCATGATGCTTATTTGATTCCAATAGTCCTGATATTTTTTTGCAGTGCTTTGATGTCTACTTTCCAAATAAACCCCTGTTCATATGCTCTTATTTTTTTTCTGTTGAGAATTCCAAGACAATGATCAAGTGAATGTATATTATGTATTCAAGTACAATTTATTTTTGTGATAAATTTGTTTTAGAATCCCATTCTAAAAACTCCATTGAAAGAGTCTATCTTTCTGATTCCAGAACATTTACAGAAGTTTGATTCACCTTCCTGACCTCTTTGAAAACCTCTATGGAAAAATTTGTATACAAATTGAGCTATAAATACTTGTTAATGAGTTTGGAGAATTTCACCATGAAGGAAAAACTTTCTCTACTTCCACTGTTTAACAGTAACATTCAAAAATCAAGGAAGCTTGTGTTGCTGCTCAAAAATGACTTGAATGCATTGCAAGCTAGAAGAAATGCACATTTACTGTGAAAGTTGCACATGATGATTTTTTTTCCAAGGGGAATTTAGATAAATCACTAGAAAAAATTCTGAATTGCATCCTGCAAATGCGCGGTAACATTGCATGTCACATGCGATGTCACTTTGCATTGGCAAAATGCGATTGAATTTTTGGCACAAATTTGATTGCATTTTGCAAATGCGAGGTGACATTGCATGTGACATGCAATGTTATCACACATTTGCAGAATGTGATTCAAGACTTTTTGTAGTGAATATTATAAATCAGTAGGGAAAGAAGCTACGTTGGAGTATTGGCCTGAATGTAAACTAGTTGCAGTCAAGCAAGATTTCTTCTAGTGATACAGAGAAAATACAATTTTTCAGCAATACTATTGAGGAAATGAAGGCAAAAAATGCCCCCAGAGATTCTATTGCCTATCTTCAAGTCAAAAAATGCCCCCAGAATTGTATCGCCCATCATCAAGTCAAAAAATTAACTTTTGTTATTTTGAAGAGTGGGCCAGTGACACAAAATATAGTGTTAGTGTGATGTCATGTAGCAGAATTCCACTAAATTTAGCATAGTGTTGCAGAATTCCACCAAGTCTACACTTTCACTACACACTTAGGCCCCAAAAAAGGGCCCACTACACTGTGCTGTTACACTGGTTAGCAGTTTTTGGCCCTATAGCAGCTGTTAGCATCTCTTAGCATAGCAAAAACCCACTACCAGTGTGCTAACACTACACATTTTCCACACAAAAAATTGCCGCCACGCTAACGCTTTTTGGGCAAAAAGCATAGTGGCCCATCTTTGTTATTATGTTATTGCAATATATTGGGTCTGCTTTTTTTCACACCAAAGTTTCAAAGACTTCCACTACACACACCAAAAAAGGACTTCACTCCAAGGATTCTTGGAGTGCACTACCCTGCACTCCAGAATGTATTGGAGCAAAACTTGATGATTTTGGATCAGATGGTTGTGGAATCCAAACAATCTTGAGTGAACAGTTTTGCACTCCTACAAATCTGGGGGTGCATGGATTCCAAAAAGCAAATCAAAATTCTATCTGTCTGTCTAGTGACCAGGCCCTTATGGCTTTCAAAAATTGCAAAAAAGTCTTTTTCTGTTGAGTGCAATGAATCAAAAAGACCATGTATTGTGTGTGTTATCAGCCTGGGGGTCCAATAAAATACTAACAAATTTTGGAGTGAAGCTCTCTGTACTTCAAATAATTTGGAGTGAGCAGGATTTGCACCCCTGGAAATAACAGGAAATTAAAAACACTGGAGTGCATGGGGATGCACTTCAAGATCTACAGGAGTGCATCCAGATTCCTTGGAGTGCACAATCATGTACTCCAAAATCATCAAGTTTTGTATCTTTTGTTGTGCACTTCAAGAAATCCTGGAGTGCAGGGTAGTGCACTCCAAAAGTCCTTGGAGTGCACACCTTTTTTTGGTGTGCATGGGGGAAATCTTTGGTGTGCAAAAAGGCAGACCCAATATACTTTTGGGAAAAAATATTAAAATAGAGTTGAAAAATACTGAAGTCGACACAAGATTTAATACTGCATTGGTTTTTGATCATTCTTCAGTCTATTACTGCCCATCAAATTAACCAAATTTATTCAAATTTGGACTTTGTAAAAAAACCTCTGTATGAGAATGACAGATATGTATGAAGTAGCTAGAAGCAACGATGAAACGAATGCGATGCGTGCATTGGCATCGCATCGTATCAAGCGGTTTATCGCATCGCATCGGTGTGAGCGATGCGGCCCCGCATCGCATCGTCCGCATCGGAATACCGATGCGGAGAATCGGCATCGCATCGATTTCCCGATCGGATGCCGATGTTGCAGGCGATGCGGAGATTATCGGCAGGCATTGCCTGAACCTCGGTTGTGACTCCGTTCCTGAAGTTGACTCCAGAGAGTCCAGTCCGCGAGTCACTCCCGACTCCGAGTCCAACTTCAAGTTCAAGCGCCACGTTCAACCCAAGTTGAACACGACATCGATTCGTTGGACTCGTCGCTCGGAGTCGGACTCGCCCCAAGTTGAACACGACATCAATTCGTTGGACTCGTCGCTCGGAGGCGGACTCGCCACCGGAATTGGCTTTGGACACTCGATAGGGATTAATTTAAATTAGACCGCTTGGAATCGATTCGTACGTACTCCCCTCGAATCCGAAGGTCGTTGACTAGGGCGGTAGGGCGGTTATCAATCGGTGGACCACCAGCTAGCCTGACTCTAACCATCTTGTTCTTATTGTTGTTCGATTCCGAATCGCAGGTACCGATCCAATCGGAATCAAGCGAAAAGACTTTCTCCCTTCACCAGGACCGATATCGAGTTGTCAGCTCGTCCAAACACCCAAAAACACCAAACACCCAAAAAAACACCGAACACCCAAAAACACCGCTCCAGTGCACCTCCCCCCCAAGGTCAACTGGACTTCACCACCTTCACCAGCCTCCACCAGCTAGACCCTCCCAACAACTCTGTTCCAGATTCACACCCTCTCCCGACTATACCATCACCAAGTCTCCTTCA